TTCTCCTCGTCAGCAACCTAAGAAATGTATATAGAACAGTATGGAGAATGTGCAGACAAGTACTTATGTTAGCGCGTGAAGGGTTAACCTCTTCCTGGTAACATCATTCTAAAGAAATTAAGGGGCAACTTCTGCAATTTTCGGCCACTCAGCCTAAAAGATGTAGCAATCATTATAGTCCATCACAAAAACGTAAAACAGCAATACTTGAACAAGGCTGCTGTCTAACTAAACCGTACACAGCTGACATACTCTAGTTCAACATAGTTATGGGCAAACCTTTCAAAGAACAGTTTATCAAGTCTGTCAAACTTTTAGTGCGAAGATTTTTTTCTCACACCCTAGTGTCAATGTAGACTTAAATCAGAACGACCATTCATAATTTAACCGAAGCCCTAACCCTTTCCATGTGATGTTTATTGTTACTCTATCTCACCATCGATGCGATTTGCCAGGATAGAATCATCTGGGTGAAAGAAGAACAGCTCATCAGGCGGTGATGAGGTTTCACCGAGTCCAATAGCACCTGAACCAACAGAATAATTCAATTCCGTGTTATCATCACTATCGTAGTCGTTGTCTGTGTCGTCCTTGTCGTCATCATCACTACTGTCATAAGGAAGCTTAGGCGTGGCCTGCCAGGGATTCGATTTTAATATTTCCACTGTACCCTCGAGTGTAAGGTCTTCAGGAGTTGACTCGACGTCGTCATCTCGTTCTTGTGAGAGAAATGTGAAAGATGTACCCTGTAAACAACGTGACGGATAGCAATACGTTAGATTCAGTTATGACTGGGTGAACGTTAACGTATCATTGTCATTGATCGCAACAATTTGATTGGTATAAATACCTCACTTACGTGAAGCGCCCCGTGGCTTGGATGACAAAATTGCCCTCTAGCCTCCATAGATGACAAACTTATTGACCAATTGTCATTGAAATTGCAATACTTTGGGATGACATGCCAATTTTATCTTCCGAAACCCTCACTTTGGCTTTCTCTTTTGAACAATTTTACCATTTGCTTTTTAGAAAATATACAACGTGGTAAAATGGGATGAGGGGAGGGATGTATTGTAGCCTGCAAGTAAACTCTCTCGCAGAGTGCGGGCGCGATGGGAACTGGTTCGCGAGCAAGGGGTTCTGTTGTTATGTGAGGTATGTTTCATTTCTCAACATTTCCCTAAGAATGACCTAAAGGTTGGTACGTGAAAACCAATTTTTGACTACCATTTTTACTCTTCAATTGCAACGTCGGTTTTGATGTATTGGTTTGCAACATAACGGATAACTCATATATACGTGGCACATTCCATTAGTCGTTCCACTTAATAGTTTGCAGTTAACACCCAGCAAAAGAATATCAATTATTCTCTTACAGCCAGCAAATGAAATTAATTAAACTAAAAAAGGTTCAACAAAAGCAATAACTGGTATAAAACTAAAACAAACAGGCAAACAAAACAAACAAAACAAACAGTGATCTATCAAAATAGCAGTCCAAAACGTGGACAAAATTTACGCCTGAACTTCATGCGGACTATAAATGAGTGCCGTGGCAGCTTAGATTAAACCACAAGCCATCTATCGCAGCCTTGCCATAGCTAACCATACCTCCTTCTTTCCACCGAAGAGGTTCGTTAGCACAGAGGTATTGGCCACGTAATACTTTTTATAAGACACATCGGGTAATTTTGCCTCCTCTGTTTGTTTTTCATTGGACAAACTAAGTTTTTCGTCTGGCTCTTCTGTCTCCTCTTCAACGATCTTTTCAAACTGTTTGTGATCTTCTCGAGTTGGGTCGTAATGCACTAGGGAGGAACTTCTGCGGGGTTGACAATACATCGTACATGAATTAAAACAATAGCGAGTTTTTCAGCCGTTTTGATTTTTTATGCACTTTTTTTTTTACCAAAAGTTGCCACAGACTTTTTTGTTGGTGGCTTCTGTGTCACGAACTACATATGAACACTTTTTCGCAGTCCTAAAATCTAGGATATCCTTTTACAGATGAGAATTCGAAATTCATTGCTTCCCCTTTGTGAATAAACACGAGACTTTGTCAAATTATGGTGCCTCATAGAGCTCTTATTATTTACTACTGACCTGAACTCTGGTACATTTCTCTCAACGCCTTGACCACTGTAATCAGCTCTGAAATCCGCACCTAGAATATTTCTGATAACTTTAAAAGCCATTTGCTTTTCTTCTTGGATACTTTTGCTAATTTCATCCTCATCTTCCCTCGGGGTGGCTCCTTCGTAGCCTCGAGACTCTCTCTTTTGTGCAACGCTTCTAGCAGCGCGACGAACATCATTATTGTCGTCGTCGTCTTCATCACTTTCCAGGAAACGTACATCCAGATCAAATCGTTTATCTCCACCGTAAGTCCTTTGTAATTTAAAAAGCTAGGAAGTGCAAATAAAAAAAAAAGGTTTTTATTAATCTCTGAAAGTTACAGGTACTTCGTGTAAACAGAAGCCATGGGCAATGTCACCCTCTCAACTACATGTAATGCTACTATGAAGAGAACTGTCGTACCTTAACAATTCGAAATGCTCTGAACTGATCCATGCAAGCAAGTAACCAATATTGCAGTTGGACCACACAACAGCAGAGTTAACCGACATTGCTGCGGTGCGTTAGTTCGGCATAATTATTGTTCATCAAATTAAAGTTACTCCATAAAATGAGCTGAAAAACAAATGGTCAACTACGTTTATAAGTGGAATACGGACACTGAACATTAAGCACAAATCGTACCTCTTCACCAGACTTTCCCTCAAACTGGGGTTTAACAAGCTGATTATTTCTTTCTGCGCTAGGATGACTTGTGTGATCGCAGTCATCGTCGCTATCACTGTCGAGTCCAAGCCATGAGCTGGCCTTAGAACCTGAAATCTAAAATGTTTGCAAAAAGTATCACATTTGTAAAGAAAAACAATTTAGGTTCAATAATACTACTATTAATAATAAAAACAATAATAATAATTTAAATCATACAACAGTCTCTGCTTGCTGTTGGCAATCATTTATAGTAAGCAAAAATCACTAAGCGCACATTCACTACCGGCTAATCACCAGGAAAGGCGAACAGCGCATTAATCAGCTGGTGCTTTTGTACCCACTTGTACCCATTGAACTCTCCACCTACACGTGATCACTCACCTTGACGCCCACAGAGTAAGTAGCTTTCTTGACTTTATTGTCATCTCCTTCATTTCCATCGCTATCAGAAAATACAATGTGATTTCTTCCATCATGGCTTTGTGCACTGCTGTCTAAGCCCTTCAGCGCATCTTTGATCAAGTTTTTCTGAGCTTGTGCAATCTTCCTTCTCTCAAGTAAGGCATCGAGTCGCTTTTCATTTGACTTTGTCCGTGTTTGAGGACTCTCTCCTACTTCTGGTTTCGCAAATTTTAAAGAAATTTCTTTTGAATCGCAAATGTCAAAGTTCTCACCAACTGGTCTTAATTTGGAATTAATAGCTGAAGAATCTTGATCTTTACTCGAGTAGGGTACATTTTCATTATCAGTTGATTCACTATCTGATGCATTTTCACAGCTATCAGAGGATTTGATATCACTTGCTTCTACCCCGGTCCCATCAAATGACTGTTTATCATTTCTTTCAACTTCTAATGGACTTGTCCCATTATGTACTGAGAAGTGTTGATTGCTATCAAGACTGCTATCTTTTCTGAAGGTTTTTGCGACAGAAGAACCTTCATTTCCACTAACTTGTGAAAGCAATTTTTCTTCTAACTGCGGAACAGACCGCACACTTTCTTCAGAGTGACCGTTTTCAATGGCCAAGCTTTCCTCCCGAATGTCATCGGTTATCTCTCTCGACAGCCTCGTTTCAACAATTTTTCGAACCACATTTCTTCCTGAGTGTGACTCGCTGGAGTCTGTCCCTACATCCTCGGTAAGATCTTGTTCTTCGAAAGAATCGTTTAAAAACTTTCCCTTTTCAACTGTTACCGCTGACTTTGATTTGTGTTTATTTTTCTTTTTACCTTTCAATAAATTGCCTGAACTAACGTTCAAAATGTCTTCCTCTGATTGGAAGTTCCATGTCAATTCCGCTATCGTATTATCTGTTTCCTCAAGTTTAATTTTCTTCAAACAATGCGTTGTTTTACTTGGATCAAACTTTGCAATCTTTTTTCTATCCCTTCTCCTCAAATACATGACTGGTAACACGCGCCCAAACTTCCCTACGACCCAGTTCTTCTTTCCTGGAAGTGGTGTTCCAGGAACAGCCTTTACAAGTGTTTCAGGAAAGGAATTTCCTTTTTCTGTGTCTTTCTTATGATGTGCTATCGTTCGCTTTGGTGAAAATTGTTTCGTGTCCTCTTGTAACGGTGATACAAAATTAGCCTGGGCCTGCTGTTGTCTCTCTCTTTGTAGCCTTCACGTATAAAAAATACAGTGCGCTTATGAAAAGGGATACAGTTTTTATTCATACTTAGAGGGTAAGCGTGCTTGAATAGAACACAAACAGCATCAATATCTCATTTACCCTCGGTATATTAGGTATAAAGAAGAGAAGATTTTTCTAAATGCTTGCAACGGTTAACCAGTGTTATTATGTTTTCAAGCGCTAGTTGCTTTTTTTTGGTTTTGTTTTGTTGTTGTTGTTGTTTTTTTCTTTACTGTGTGATTAAGTACAACGTCATTTTACAGCCTAAAAAATGATATGCTGATCTGAAGGGTTAAAAAATGTATCGTTAGTTAATGTACTTACAAACCTTGTGAGAAAACTTTCTTTGGCAGGCTGAATCTTCAAACAGCAGCCCCTCCACTTCGAGTTTGACAGGAGTGAAACACCTTCATATGAACCAAAAGGAGAGGGATGTAAGAAAAAAAAAAAGCAATACAAAGAACTCCTACAGCCGTTTCTGGCAGTAGAGCTATGATGAATGTATATAAAAGTACATGTTTAATAGAGGGGTGAAACTATGCGTACTGTACTTTGATTTACAATCAGTGTCAAAATTAGTTGACACATCATGTTGGAAGAATTCTGTGTGAAGAATGACATTCCTGTTTGTACCACATTACAAATCATTAACAGCTCCCCTCACCCGTTCAAAGTTGGCTAAAAGTTCATGGAATCACGATACAACATTGTTTAAGGGGGAAAGGGACAAATACTTTAGGTTAATTTAACAATAACAAAAGAGATAAAATTAAAGTGATAAGTGGTTGAAAAGATCAGTGTATCAACAATCTTGTTGCTGATTGTAGGTTCATTCTCTACATGTATAAAATTTAAAATATGAAAAGTTATCATTTAAAAAAAAAATTTGCCCTTTATACTTCTGCTTATGTCAAACATGAGAAAACAAAGGAAGTGTCATTATTGTTCCTATATGTAAAGCCATATTTGATAACTAACTTGTATTATACTTTTACCTAGTTTAGATTTGAGTCAAAGTCATCAGGAGAAAAGGAACAAACTTAACCCTCTCTCATGAATGACTGACATGTAACTTCTTCTTTTAATATCAATACATTATCCAGTAAACAAATATTGAGAATACTCAATCTTATTACACGACTCTGGCAGTCAGAGGGCCAATAACTAAAATCAACCAATCAAAATGCTCTGTTGCCGGTCCAATATTCTCTAAGTATTGGACCGGGCACTGTCCCGAATGGTCCCGAATGATCCCAAATGATACCGCACTTGTGTCCCTTTGAACTTCAGTTGTATAATAAATCTCTTATTAACCAAGCTTGCTCGGGACCGTACTGGAAGAATATCGGTGCTCGGTCCGTACTGTCAAGACCTTGGGCCAATATTCTCCCAGTATGGCCCTCGCACTTGGTTGATAAGATATATTTATCAGCCAAATTCTCAAAATTAATTTAAAAGGAAATGAATAGCAGCTACAGGGAGAATTAACAGGAGATAATACATGTGTATCAGAATCTCTCTATTTCAACCTCCAGTTTTCTAAATACAGCTCAAGTAGATATCCAAATATACACAATGTATTCCATTATTTCAACAAACACAAATCAAAGCGAATGTTTTGATGACAATTGTATCTGGAACATAATAATTTTTCACAAGCTGATGGTAAATACAAAAATGATTATATACTTACATCTTCTAAAATCTTTCTCTGTTTGCAAAATGTCAACATATGCAAATGTTTTGGTTGTGCAACCTAAATCAATCATAATAAAGGATACTACATAAAAAAGCCTTGTATACTAGCAAAAGAACTCATCAACTTTAATACACTGTAACTTAAAGAAACTACACGATTGTACTACAATGTAGGCATTAAGCTATAAAAATTGCTTTGAAAAATAAGTTTCTGAATTAAGTAATAAAGACTGCTTTCAAATATTAAAGAAATAAATGACGATAAAGACAATTGCATGCAGGGATATCAAAAAGTAAATATTTTGACTGGAGAAAAAGCAGGGCTCTACACAGAAGGTCATACATGTTGAACATGTACGGTACGCCGACATCACAACCAGATTTTTCTGCCCTCAAGGGTTAGCAATTTCTTTATCCCCTTGCATCCTAACGTCAGCATGCACACTCTCCATGCAGTTCTCTGTACAGTTCCCAAGGTGTTGACAAGGAACCAGCATAATGACCAGCTCCCAGTTGGCTTGTTGGATCAGTTGGTAGAGTGCTGCACTGGTATCGCAAAGGTCGTAGGTTCAAATCCCCTATGGGCCTGAACTTTTTCAGGCCTTATTTCCACTACTACAATTAAGTAAGGTTTGTTACTATGAGGATCACTTTCATACATTTCATGGAAGCCCAGTACAACAATACGATTTTCATACATTCAATATTCATTGATTTATATCACTTCACAGGTTTAATACGAACCAACATAGTGACCAGCACCTAGTTGGCTTTTTAGCTCAGTTGGTGGAACACTGCACCGGTATCGCAAAGGTCATGGGTTCAAATCCTGTACCTGCCTGAATTTTTTCTGGTGATAATTCCTCTACTACTTATTAAGTAGGGTTTACTACCGCAAGGATCACTTTCATACATTTCATGAAACTAAAGTACACATAATTATATGACTTTCATATAATTATTAAAAATTACTTAATTAAGAGCTTCTATGGTTGGTGATCATTTCCTTCATTCTCATGACCTTAATGTGTGATTCAGGGGGGAGGGGGGGTGGCAGGGGTTTCATTAAGAGCCAGGCACCAGGCGAATTGACTGGTTGCTGGGATGTTTTTGCCCACCTGGTTAAATTAGCATCTGGAAAAAAGTTCATCTTATAAAGAAGTTCAGTTCAAAAAGTTTTTCCCACCTGAGAAAACCAGTTGCCCTCCTGCTGAAAACATTAATAAAACCCCTGGGGGGGGGGGTACTGTACAGAAAATTGAAGGCTACTTCCCTTAGGAATAAGATGAGGCAAGCTCTCGCATAATTCAGTCATCAAAATACAAACGAGTCATTTACATACCATTTTCATCTGCTCTTTGTATAACCTCAACTGATGATACAGTACCAAAAGCATTGAAACGATCTCTGAAAAGTTACAATAGATGATAATTAACCCTTAATTCCCCTGATCGGTTGTTAATTCTCCCCTTTGGCTGATAGACATTGGTTACTAGATCAAGGTGACAACTTCTACCTGATAATTTTGTGTATTCTCATTACCTGCTTGCTGGACAATTTATGGATATCCTTGGGAGAAGTTACATGTTCATCACTTCCGGGAGTGAAAGGGCTAATTAAATCAGGTACATGACCGAGTGTGGATAACAGTTTTTTATACCAGTGTTTACAATATTTCTCACATGTCAGCCTAGCCAGCAACAAGAGAGGATTTCAAACATTTTACATCGTAATGTTAATGTACTAAAGGAGGCCCTTCAGGTTACCTGCCATTTTACCCCTTTAACTCCCACGGGTGATAAACACGTACTTTCTCCCTGTAATATCCATACACTACCTGTATCGATCTAGCAAACAGGTAATGAGAGTTGCTCAAACTTTTTTTGCCAGAAGTAATTATCTTGGTATAACATCAACTTCTCATCAGTAATTTACCACGAGATGTGTAGTAGTTGGAGGGGATAATTTACAGTCAGGTCTTGGAAGTCAAAGGGTTAGTACCTGTAACTGGCTCATTGCTACGACATTGTTACAGTGTATCCTCACACACGTAAGTGAAGGTTTAAAGGGTATGTTCACTATGCGTCCTAAAGATATTGAGAAATCCTGGTAATCAGTTACTACCTATGCAACACGCATACAACAGGAATGCTACACAGTTACACCCAGGGGGGGAGGGTTAGGGTGAGTTCAGGACACATATTTCATTGAACAAAGAGCAATGCAGTTATATTGATCAACTAACAGAAGTAGCAGTGAAAATAAAGCCACAAAAAGAATGGTTAAAATTTATGGCCAACCTGAGGCTTTTTTACGTGTAAGTGAGTTCAAGATGTACTATTTGAAACATGTGCAAGTACAGTTAAATACTCTAAGGAAAAAAAAATATATATATATGGTAAGGTAAAGGTAAAGTCTGTTTACGAGCCTAGTGGCCCATTAGGCCGGTGCTTAACTCCGGTTTCTGTAGCATGAAGTGACTAGGAGTATTTCTACTCCCCTCTGGATGGGATGCTAGTCCATCGCAGGGTTACCCCCAGCATTAAATTGCTGGTACCCATTTCTACACCTGGGTGAAGAGAAGCACTGTGAGGGTAAAGTGTCTTGCCTAAGAGCCTAAGAACACAACAACACAACAACACAACACAATGTCCCGGCCGGGACACGAACCCAGACTACCCGGCCGGGGCACGAACCCGGACCAGTCGATCCGGAGTCGAGCGCACTAACCATGAGGCCACCGCGCCTCCACATATATATGTATGTATATAAATATTATATATATATACATATATATATAGCTATATGTATATATATAGCTATGTATGTATATATATATATATATACATATAAGCGAAATAGGCAACATAGGATCCATGACAGTCCTCGACAATGAAGGAGCGATTACAGTAGCAAATGGACTACTCAAGTTATGCACATATGGATTCTACTACAGCCTGTTTCCTAGACCAACAAAAGTTGATCCACTCATCAATCAAACTCCATACACACTGAGGATAAGACAAGACAACAAATTTCTCAGTGAGGCATAAATTGCAACACTTTGTTGCACTGAAATATGCTTTAGCCCTAGCAATAATTTTCCATGAAATTGAATAGTCTTCCCTCTTCTCCTTGAGTTTCCACAGGTACTTGCTCAGCTCTGTGTCATTTCGCTGTCTCTTGTGGTTGAACGACATTCGGTGGTTTCGCCATCTAGTCTTAAAATCTGTCGCTGTGAGGCCAACGTACGTTTCAGTTTCTTCCATGGTAGCGACTGTGGCTTGGTAGACAACCTCGCTTTGCAAACATTCCCCTCCTAAAGGGCATTTGTTTTCGTTTCTGCAGTTGCACAATCTTTGGGGGCGGCTTTCTTTGGGCATTTTTGCGTTCCTGATTGTGGCTTTGTTATGCCTGTCTATGATCTGTTTCATATTGGGTGAGCATGAGCAGCTCAGTTTAATGGTGTTTCTATTGAAAATTTTCTTCAGTTTGTGGGTGACTGGAAAGCACTTGTTAATAAGGTTAATAAACGCTCTGTCAATGTTGATCTGGACGTTTCTGTTAACTGGTGGGTTAAACCAAATTATGTTTCTTCGCCTTTTGGTTTGGTATTGCGGTCGGTGCAGTTCCGGTTCAGTGAAGTGCAGCTTGTATGTGTAGCCACTCTTGTGTAACACGTCTTGGTAGGGAAGTGCTGCTTTGTTGAACATGTCTTTGTCAGAAGAGATGTCAGAAAGATTGTGGATAAAAAAACATTGTACAACATTGGCAGAGCGTTTATTAACCATATTGACAAGTGCTTTCCAGTCACCCACAAACTGAGGAAAATTTTCAATAGAAACACCATTAAACTGAGCTACTCATGCACATCCAATATGAAACAAATCATTGACGGGCATAACAACGCCACAATCTGGAACGCAAAAATGCCCAAAGAAAGCCACCCCCAAAGATTGTGCAACTGCAGAAATGAAAACGAATGCCCTTTAGGAGGGGAATGTTTGCAAAGCAAGGTTGTCTACCAAGCCACAGTCGCTACCAGGGAAGAAACTGAAACGTATGTTGGCCTCAGAGCGACAGATTTTAAGACTAGATGGCGAAACCACCGAATGTCATTCAACCACGAGAGACGGCAAAATGACACAGAGCTGAGCAAGTACCTGTGGAAACTCTCAAGGAGAAGATGGAAGACTATTCGATTTCATGGAAAATTATTGCTAGGGCTAGAACATATTCCAATGCCACAAAACGTTGCAATTTATGCCTCACTGAGAAATTTGTTATCTTGTCTTATCCACATGAAGCCTCTCTAAACAAGCGAAGTGAAATAATATCCAATTGTAGACATTGGCAAAAATATATTCTCAAGTATTCTTAACGCTATCATCGGCGCGCGCACGGTTTTCAAGATTTGAACTTTTTAAACAATGTCATGTGATCATGTTGTTGAGTTAGAGTTAACCGTCACGATGCCTCAGTGTGTATGGAGTTTGACTGATGAGTGGATCAACTTTTGTTGGTCTACGAAACAGGCTGTATTAAAATCCATATGTGCGTAACTTGAGTAGTCCATTTGCTACTGTAATCGCTCCTTCATTGTCGAGCACTGTCCTGGATCCTACGTTGCCTATTTCGCTTATATATATATAACCAAAATAGCGGAATGAGATCGTTGTGAAATTATACTGACCGAAGCTAAGAAAGTATTACTTAACGCCATATAAACCATGTAAGTGAAAAAAGCACTCCAACTAACTTCTACTTTCAACACACTACTGCGAAAACTTCAAACCTAGTTTTGTCTACGACCTCGTCAGTTGATGACAAACAAAAACTATAAATCCTTTGAAAAATTTTTGAAAAAATGCGCACGTCGTGTAGTAACACACGAAAAGTAGCCGCTCGGAACCAGGTCTCTAGAGCTGTCACATTGACGTGCATAATGTTACCAAAAGGACGTAAAGACAGCAGAGTGACAATAAATCTCAAAAAAGAAACAACAACTTTGAGTTTAAATTTACAAGACATGTTTCGACATTCTCATGTCATCTTCAGTTGCAAATGAGCATTTAACTGTTGTACATTTGAATTTAAATTAGGGTACGTTACAAACTACGTGTCAGTGCTTACGTTACATTTGAATGTTAAAAACGCGAAAGATGTAAATAGCGCGCGCTTGACTAGATCAAAAAATAAATAGATAAATAAAAAATAAATAAATAAATGTAATAATAATAAAAATAAATTAAAAGACCAAGGAACAACATCATTAAAAGGAAAGAGACAATTCTAGATGTTTCAATTGCTGATTAAGGATAGGTTTTTCCCACTTAATATGCAATGCCTCTTTGATCTTAATTTGGTATTTTGAAG